TGTGTGTGTGTGTGTGTGTGTGTGTGTGTGTGTGTGTGTGTGTGTGTGTATATATCACTGTAATTGCATTCAACACAATTCATAGATGCTATTATTCACACATGGACAGCATCGTAGAGTTAATCATGGTCAGAAGGCTTTTGAATTGAACTGCAGTCATATCCCCGAAGATCTTGCGTTATGTGAAGACTTTGGGATTCCAATACTTTCTCCTGGCATGTGATCGCGCCACAATGTTGCATACGTCAATGTACCCTTTAGCTCTCCATAATGGGCATTTCAGTTTTTTTTAATTTCATGTTCACTTGACAGGAATTGTAATATTCTTTAATAATATTCCCCAAAGCACAATTTTACCAATGAAGACTTTCCACTCCTCTCGATGAAAAGGATATTAATGTAACTACACTTAAAGTTTAGCTAAACCTCTTTTACGCTGCCTGCCCCCCGATGTCGTTTGTGATGTTATCAGATGAATCATTGATTTACCTCTGGAGGGACACAATCGCTGCCTGCTCATTCTCATTTTCAGCCTGGGTGGTCCCCAGCACTTGCCAAGCCTGCAGAGACGCAATAAGGAGACCATGTGAGGAGAAGCCGGACATCAGTACTTTCTTTATTTGGCCCCTGAGGGCCAATCTCCATCACAGTTCGATATACAGCGAATGGGGATTGCGCGATAGAGTCTTGGCGACAATAAACCTCTCCTCTTGTCATTATTTGAACCAAAGGTGCTCTATCTCTCGTTGATGTTGGATGACAAACAACTGAAACCACTTTGATTTTCTAAATATATTTTTAAAATTTAATTAACAATAACCTTTCTTCAGAAAAGTAGTACATACATGTACAACATTATAATCCATCCATTTTCTACTGCACAGGTGTCAAACTCCGGTCCTTGTATGTTTCAGCTCATCAGCAAGCGCTGCGGGAGCCTTACAATGATCCTGATCATTTGGATCAGGTGTGTTGGAAGAGAGAAACGTGCAGGATAGTGGCCCTCGAGGACTAGAGTTTGACACCTGTATTCTCTTGTGTCCTCATTAGGGTTGTGGGTGAGCAGGAGTCTATCGCGGCAGACTTGAGGGCGAGAGGCGGGGTGCATCCTGGACTGGTTGCCAGCCAATCACATAGGGCACATGTAGATAAACAACCATTCACACGTGTGAATGATTTCGTCTTCAGTGAGCCTCACGTGGCTGGTTTTGGAATAGGGGAAGTAAAGAAACACATTTCCACAAATCCCAGATTGAGAACATACAAACCCTGAACAGTAGAGCAATCTGAGGCTACTGTGCTAACTCCATTTTGCTGCCCCAACAATTGTAATTAAATACAACTTTGAATATTTGCATGTGCAACACAGCAAGTTTCCCAGAGAAACACTAGAGGGCAGATTTTAAATCCATAATGTGATATTATAATATCGCCCCTGTGTTTTGTCTCTGTAAAGCCCCATGTTAAAACCAGTTAATGCCAAAGCTAATCTCTGCGTATGTCTTTTTTTTTTTTGTCCCTCTCTATTAATATAAGGGGAGAAATAATTTCAGAGGTCTTCGGAGTGAAGGTACGAGCCACTAAGCGCCCCCAGGTGGGATTTTGGAATCGTATTAGTTCCATACACTGAGGGATTATCCTTTCCCTGCAAAAATTGGCACATTTCCGTATTTTCCAAAGGATGCCAGAAGCACTTTATGCAAAGGCTTTGCTCTTTCAACCTGCAAAGAGGTCACTCCCGACTAAGAAGGGAAGAGTGGGAATAAAATGAAATGAGCGAAGATTCATCTCACTGGTCGAATGGAAATTCTCATCAAGAGTAGGAGCAAGTTGGACCTTTGTGTTCCAGTAAACAATTGAAAAAGGGGGAAGAAATTCGAGGCAATCAGCGTTCAGCCCCGTGTCCTCTGAGGACAAAATCTGCCTCGCGCAGCTGGTGGTCACTGAGGCATTTTTTCTCTCTGGTTTTCTCTCAGCACGAGTCGGCAAGGATGGAGATTTTTGTTCGCACTTGCCACAGTCATGCTGACCCGTGCGATCATAAAATCGTGAACACATTTCGTTAAATGCATCTCAAGTCATATCGGTGTGGCGAACCTCATTGATTATAAGCAATTGACAGGGAACTGAACTGAAAATGGCAGCTTTAGCGTGTGAGTGTGTGTGTGCGTGCACTTTCATGAACGCATTCACCTCTGAATCATGAGGGTCCTGCAAGACAGCTGCTTCCAGCATAAGCACCGCATTTGGCAAGTCTCCTTCCCGAGACTTCTTCAGCCCCTCCTCAAAGGCATTAGGCAAGTCCTTATAGGGATTATCTGTGTGGAAGTAGTAACCCTGTCAGCAAAAACAAAAACAACAACAGAAAACAAGTTCAGTGGTGACGTCACTGCCCCTCGGATGCAAAGCTGCGGCAAGGAATCGATCGTTACCGCATCACATCAACCCTGGACGGGGCTCCCTGGGGGGTCCCCCCCTCCCCCCCGTTCTCTTTAAATGTTAAACTTTGAATTTTCGAACCGTGATTACCGCAGCGTGTTTACAGCCGTCTCGGCGCAATATGACTTTGAAAAAGCTTGCTCTGCGCTGGGATCAATCAGGAAGCCCGCAAGTCGGCTCTCTTTCGGCTTCCTCGTATAGGAAGGTCAGCTCATGGGTGATGAGCTCTGCCGACATATATATTCGATTGCATTATGTATACTATACACCGCGAGATGCTCGGGTGGCCGCTGAATGACATCTTTTTTTTTCCCCCTAAAATACAGCATAATAATTGGATTCGAGGAACATGTCACCTTTCAAGTGTGTTTAACTCATAGAAATCACCAACTAATTGATGCACCAGACATTTTTTCTAAATGTAACTCTTTGTCTATGTATATATTATCTGCTTCCCCATGTTTTTGGTTGCTGTTTTCCCTTAGCCCAAGCTTTCATCGTGAGGCATGCGGCATCAATTTTGACTTCACTGTAACAAAAACGTTTTTTTGCCCTGTGAATGGCTGCAAAATATTCCGAAGGACAGCAAGGGGTGATGTTTGCAAATGACGCACCACTGCTCTGTGTCTGTTATTTTCTCTACCCCGTCTATTTTTCTGCTCAGCTTCAAGGCTCCAATGTTCACTCGTGAGTGGAGGAAAGTACACACAGGTCAAAAAGGATTTCTATGAAAGGAATTTGAAAATAAGTCAAGGAAGAGTATAGAAGTGTTTAGGCATGGAGTTTTTAGACACAGCAAACAACTTTTACACGACGACAATCCTGCGTATGTATTTCTCTTCAAACAAAAGCTGCGTCTGTGCTTTTACAATCTGATCACCAAATTAAAACTATGAGGGTACTGGATGAATTGAAAATTTTAAGTAGTCCTATCACACCTTTAACTATACAGATGATATTTTTAAGTAACATTAACATTCCTAATTGTCATAGTATAATCAAGTGACAAAAGAAGTTAACTACTGTATAATACAACTAAATTAAAGCACTGTGAGACAATGAGAAACAAAACACGTGGATTTAATCAGAGCCTCATGAGATTTGCTAAATTTAAACATGATAGTTGGACCTTTTGAGTTTGGTTGATTTGCTGATTGCTTTTTTAATTGCAGGGGATTTTTGAAAATTCTTTCGAATAGCGATGATTCATTCTCGTGTATAAAATAGCGACAGGTAATCATTTCATCTTCAAATAAATGTACTTTCATTTCCATGGCAACCTTATATTAACCATTTCAATGTTTTAGCAGACATTTCAATTTGTGACGTCATCTCAGGTTTTTGATTTTATGCATCTCAAAAATTTGCCTCGATAAATGAAGAACACATGTCATGAGATTACATATCAACAGTTTTTCATGAATGCAAGACATAAAAAAAAAAAAAAAAAATCAGGCGACAGCTTCCTAATCATGGAGGACCCCACTTTGCACTGGCTTCTATTATTGTTATGAACTGTGCACACGCTGTATTGCACACAATTCATAACCATAATTGCTTGCACAAATGATAATTATTTTTGTGTCGTGGACTCAGTAAATGACAAAAAAACTCTAGGGGGAGATTCCTTGGTGCTTGTATAATTTATCAAAAAAAAAAAATAGAATGTAATATTTCATACTACTATTAATTTCAAACATACATGAATTGAATGTGCTTTGGTCCCCGCATAACGAAAAATGTTTTGTGGATGCACAGACAATAATGACCTTCTCGTGAGGAGAGACCGTGGAGGGAATCTGGGCTTGCTCATTCTCCGTCAGCCAGTTTCGCCGAGCCAGTTCCTCCCACTCTGCCTGCATCTTATCCCAGAACTCCGTATCCGACTACAGGCAACAGCGAAGAAGAAGAAGGAATGGGAGGCCGGGATGAAGCAGAGGGGGGAGGAGTCAAGAAATGCAGAGACACAGAGGTGAAAGAATGACTCGTGAGCATCTGACAAAATTTCACGTGGAATCTCTGTGTGTATCTTTCCTCATTTTAATATTTCAAATGTGAAAAGCAAAAGAGAATTACATTTTTATTTGATAGACACAAAAAATTAAGAACATTTGATTTAACGACATGTCACAGTACAGCAATAGCTAAACATGTGCTACTTGCATACAACACCTTCGTGTCTCTAGTTTATGTGAACGTTCATCCATTCATCACAGTGTCCGTGGTTCTCGGCCACGCTGGTGTGAACAATCAAAGCTGAACAACTGCCCTTCTTTCACTTATGGACTTCTCCATTGTTCGAAAAAAGCACAGGTTGAAAGACGGGGGCGACGTCCTTTCAAGCAAGTGTGGCTACTGACAAGATAGAAGGGATCACGGCCGAGAGCCGCGGTGAAAGAGTGCCAACGTGTCATAAGGTCTTCTCATCTCTTCTCTTCAGAGGCTGCTCAATGACACAGGAGCCATTGTGGCTCCTGACAAGCAGTCACAGTAGGTAATTGGCGGCTGCTGACGCTCCAAGCCAAATTGCCCCAAGGTGACTTTTCATGGTTACCACTTCTGGAGGGCCTTTTCACATATCACATCAAATGTGATCTTATTGAAGCAATACCATGCGGATATTGCACATCTCTATTCCCTACAAATTAAAACAGTTCTTAAGTGTGTTATTGAAATGTCGGTGGCATGCTTCACTTGGCTGGACTCTTTTCATCCTTGAGGTATTTTTTTTTTTTTTTTTAAATAAGCCTCGTGAAATCAGCCTGTTTTGATGCGGTTTTCCCAAACCAACGCTCGGGTCCAAAAGGGACCAAGCCAATGCTGGATTATTTCTATCCAGTGTTGAATTAACACCAACAGATTTGCAGTGCGAGGAGGAATCAAACCCACGCTGTCTGAATCAATGGCAGCAGCGTGTACAACCACAGCATCGGAGCCACGAGCATACAGTCTCTCGTTGAACAAACAATCTCCTTAAACTCAATGTGCTGTATGGATTATCCATCAACTCACTCCAACAAATACCTGGATGTAATCTAAAATGTTGTCATATTTCTAAATTACACAAAGAGGAGTGTGGTTATTTCCCCCATGTTTTTTAAAATTAAATAATACGGGGGTTGTCAGTTTAATTAAGCGGAACAAGGCGAGGTAATTTACAAGCCGTGTACCACTGAAGCGAGCGGTGAGGAAGAACACTTTTATTTGGGAATGAACAGCAGGGTGCATGATCGGTATAAAAATGAATGGGCGACTCCATGGATGCTTGTTCACAACACCAAAAATGATGCCCATGTCAACAGAGCTGATGCAAAGCCAAACAAATGTTTGCCTCAAGGATAATTTAGAAGCGGTCGTTCATGACTTGACATGAAGGAATAGGGTGCGCGCTCTCTCACAGGTGTAAATGTTGACTCTTCAGATAAAATAAGAAATAAGAAAAATTTTGGACATATGAGCAGTATGCATTACTCATAATGTTGGTCACTGGCGTCAACATTTTGTTTAATGAACAGATATTATGAAATCAAATGATTGCTGCAGTACGCAAAACATATTTGAACATGTATTACCGTATTTTTCGGATTAGAGGTCGCTCCGGATTATAAATCGCACCAGCCAAAAAAATGCATAATTAAGAAGGAATAAACAGATATAAGTCACACTGGGGTATAAATCGCATTTTGGGGGGAAATTTATTTGATAAAATCCAACACCAAGAACATACAATTTAAAATAAACATAAAAAACAACACGCTGAATTAGTGTACGATATGCTAACGTTACATGACGCATAAACGACGAACTGAGAACGTGCCTGGTATGTTCAAGTAACATACTAAGAGTTATTCAGATAACTCGAGCATAAAGAACATGCTAACAAGTTCACCAAACCATCAATGTCACTCCAAATCACTAAATCCAATGAAATCTTCATCCTCTGTGTCACTTTAAAGCAACTCCACCAACTCCGGAGGTAGAAGATGCAGCGCTTCCTCTTCTACGTCGCTTACGTCAGACTCATCGTGGTTTTATCAATACAGGTCTAGAGCAGCCTGTTGTGGTTTAATGTGAAAATAAAATCGTGAAATGATATAATAATGTGTTAATAATTTCACCCATAAACCTATGAACTAAAACTATGAATAAAACTGCGACTTATAGTCCGGAAAATACGGTAAATGTGATGATTAAATGAACATGTATTAAGTTTGTTGTACTGGGATTGTGTGGATCTTTGAAAATATTTTAAAGTACAGGGGTGGCTTTTTCACTGCCGGAGATGTCACACAGTGTTATGGGGTGGTGCATGTGGAAGAGCTCCATCCATCCATTTTCTCTTCTCTTCAGAAGGGTTGTGGGGGAGCTGGAGCCTATCCCAGACGAATTTGGATCATCGTTCTGGAGTTGTCGCCAGTCAATTTGCAAGGCACTATCCTCTCATATCATATCCACATGCACACACACACACGCACACGCGCACATGCACACGCACACACACACACACACACACACGCGCACACGCGCACACGCACACACACACACACACACACACACACACACACACACACACACACACACACACACACACACACACACCTATATGGACAATTTAGGTCGTACGCTCTGAAAGTGACACAATTTAGAGCTTAACCTGAATGTAAGTTAAAAAGTTAAGCAAGTCTAGGAGTTCAAACTAAAATCATGAGTGATGCCATGATGGACAACTGTGATTCGATTTTTCTTTGGCTTTTATGAGGGTGTTTTGTGGCACAATATATAGCAATACCTATAATACATCACTAGGTGATGGTATCACCCTACGGTCATTCAAAACATTACATGCATGCATTTCCTGTACAGATAAAGCGCTAATGATTGCAATGAATTAGGTCACTTCAGTTTATTTTGAAATTAGAACAACGAACAAAATTGCGTCTGAGTTTGGACATCCCATTATAACTGATTATAAAAGGTACATGCTGGAGAAAATCTTTGACGTTTTTTTTCCACTTGCTCATTGACAATACATTTAAGTCCTGAGGGCGGCTGAGAGCCACATTGATCTCGGAACATTCCGTTTTTAAATGGATCACCACTTCATTGGTTCGCTAGAGGTTCTACTGTATAAGCTCGGCAAGCACGTCTTGAGAGACAAGTAAGGAATGAAGGGGGTTATCCATCTTGGCCCCTACATCACAAAAAGTTTAATTACTTATCAGTGACACAAGCCTCTCCAGAGCTGGCCTGGCCTTTCGCTGCTAACAAGCCCCCTACAGCTCTGCACTGCTCTACGCGGCCAGTCCTTGGTCAGACGGACCAAAATAGCAAGCCGGAGACCCGTTAATGGAATAACACGCATTTATCGGACAAAGTGCCCCGGTTGTATTTTTCTAGACAATGCAATTACCCATGATGTGAATGTCTGAAATAACACATACTTCAGCGCATGCAGTTTTCTGCTCTGTCGGCAAAAATAAAAGGCCAGTTTCTAGGCCAGCAACTACTGTCAGGTACTTTTTCAGCAAAGATTGACGTGAGCATATGCAATTGATTTATAGCTAGAAATAAGACAAAGAGTGGAATGAGATGCAGACATAAAAAAAAAAAAATAATAATAATTCAAATGAGATGTGGTGTTTGAATCCTGGCCCAGGCCTTTCTGTGTAGAGTTTACTCAGATTAAATCCATTTCCATTGATTCCTATGAGGAAAAATGATTTGAAATTAGAGCAACTTGGAAGTCAACCAGCGCAATGGATTGTTTTCAATTTTGAAGCTTCTAATGTTTTTTTTTTTGAAGCAACATTACTGTTTAAACTTAGGCACACAGATCTATAATTTTGATATAAATCGGTCCACGAATTACTGCAGTAAATATTCCATGTTGCAATAAAAATTAAGAATATTGTGTCCATCTCTCAGACAGGTTTAACTGTCTTGGAGGCTTAAATTTGTGGCTCAGTCAAATTACTTTTAGCTATTACTGCGAAAGTAATCTAATATTCATTCCGGCAGAATTGAATCAACTTTTATTGCATACAAAATTATAAAATGTCCCAAACTTTTCAGAGGGGAAGATAATGGACAAAGGAACAAGTCATTCCCATGTGGGAGTGCACGGAAAATAACAGCCTTTTTGCACAAGTACTAACCCCCAAACTACTGTCAGTCATTTTGACCGAATGTTTTCTTGCATTATGTTGAACTGATAATGTTTTCATCCAAACTGAAGGAGCCCAGTTAAGAGGGTAAATGCATTATTTATTTGTGCTCGCAATTTTGATGTGCATTGAGAGGATTATTTTTGGCAAACAACACAGCATCTGATCAAAACAAGAGGGCCGATGTTGCAGGTGATAATAGACAATATTAAGAGTGCACACATCCTGCTGTCGCTTTAATCATGGAAATGCTATGCTGCAGCAACTTAGGCTATGCTTTATTTCCACTCGGGGACTCCTATTTCTTATGCATCGCAGCCAAAACAAGTCACATTTTAGCCTACATTATTCAAGCGAAGCATAACAATACCGTATGCCCAGAGTAGTTGAAACTGTCCTAATGTAGCGTGAAGAGTCACTAACCCACTGAGAAAAATTGTCATCACCCAGCCATCTTACATTAATTTAAAGCCGTTTCTCCATTCCTCATTTCACCCTCCTCTTCTTATCTGTAAAGCCATAAAAAGAGGCATTTACTGTCATCAATGGCGATTTTGTAAAATGGATGAAATTTGGAAGCGCTTTCACATCGACTCCCTCTGAGGCTTCTATTTTTCTGAAACATTGTCTAATTCATCAAATCGAATAAAAGGAAGCCTACATACTGAATTGACATGCTCACAGTAGATAAAAGACCTTGGACAAGCCCCGAATCATTCATGCCGTGGCCAGATTTGTGTAAAAAAAGGAACTTTTTATTTGTTGAATGAGTAACTCTTAGTGGGAAATTACACAATAATGTGTTCAGTGATTGGTATTAATCAAAGTAACAACTCTGACATTGTGGAAAAAAAAAAGTATAACATGCAACTTCCTGTTGGTTTAACGGCCAGGCGTCACGGCACTCGTGCCCTTGTAATGTATATGCAGCAACTGAAATCTCCTGATTGTGGATATTGATAAAACCTGAAACCCAAATGGCTGGCCACTGGCACGAAGATTCGCCCACAGTAGAAGCCTGTGCTAATTCCAAGCCTGGAGGTAATGTTACCAATCGATGATTCATGCTCTGACGCTCACGTCTGTCGCTAAATCTATTCTCTAAGCTGCCCTGCAGCTGATCCGAAGACAAATATTTTGAGGGCTTACCACTTACACAACCTGTGACATCAGTGCTAATTTTGGGATGGGATCCCCCAAGTGGGCGAGTGCGCAGCTCGTCTATTGCTCCTCTCACTTTCGGAAAAATGTTCCTGTCCCTGTTCTATTATTCATCAACACAGCATATAACAGCGTCTCGTCTTTGGTATATGTCAAGTAACTCAAGAGTGCAGGTTTCAATGCCGTGTTCAGGAATAAAAAAAGGAGGCTTTTATTTAGCAAGAGAGAATAAGGGAAATTCTGAAAAGGATTTGTATGACTCAGATTGACATGACCTTGTACGAGACATGGCAAAAGCCAGAATACAATATGTATGGCCTAAAGCGCAAGAGACAAAAGTATCTTTGATATGAATGAATTCATTCATCGGGTAGCAACTCCTGGTTGGCACATCTGCCTCACAATCGTGAGGTTTGGGTTCAAATCTCCATTCCTGCTGTCCTGTGTGGAGTTCACAATTTCTTACCGTGTTTGCTTAGTCGAGATCCTCTGGCTTCCTCCCACATCCCCCCACAAAATGCCTTTTAGGTTCACTCCACATTATCCATAAGAGTGGATGTGAAGGTGAACGTTTTTTTGCCCTGTGACTTACTGGCGACCAGTCCAGGGTATCGCCTGCCTCTTACCCCAAATTAGCTGCTACATGCTGCAGCTCTCCTGCGATCCTAATGAAGACAAGCGTGAAAGAAAATGGATGAAAAACCTATTGGCTTTCTTTTTGTGAGCAAAACGAAGGCTGTGAACATTTTTTTTTTCTGGGTCAAACGCAACTTGAACTTGAGAGTGGGGATCTGACATGGCTTCATTAGGTTTTCAAGTGTCACAGCGGGGGCCGAACAATGTGGAGATGATTCGACAAAGGCAGAAAATGGGGCTCAATTTAATGGCAAATAGGCTCCACGGGACTTCAGGTAGAGATTCACATCACACCACTGATCGTACGGCTCAAAGTGCTGTGATGTCAGCAAAGTGGTTTCCTATTTAGCTTCCCTCCTGTGAATGATACATCATGATGTCTGCTCATTGGCTATACGTTCTTTTGTGCAGAACCAAATGTTTAGTTCTGTGTTGGTGGTGGTGCCTCAGAGTGCTGCATCCTAGAAAAATATTACATTATAAAAAAATATTAGTTGTATTTTGGTGGGGTGTATGCGGAATGGACATACAGTACTCAAAACATGCCAAATTAAAATTAAGGAGCCAGTTTTGGTGATTAAGACGACCAGGACCACCACCAAAGACATGTTGAACATCAAGGCTTTTAGAGATATTTTTGTGACCCTCTCCAGTTTCATGCACTTAATCATTCTTAATTGTAAGTATGCTGAGAGCTCTTTTGTGTCAAGTATCAGGCAATCTTTCTTGATTAATTTAACAAAAAACTACAACTAAAACTGTTGTGTGTCTTTGTTCTTTTAACATGGTACAGCAGCTTTAACCAGGACGTACAATCTTATCACGTTAATTGAACTCGTATGACTCTAATTGAGTCGCTGATGGTGAAGTGGTACACTCCCTTGTCTGGTGTGTGGGCAACGTGGGATTGGTTCCCACTTAGCGGTGCCTTGGGTGTGAATGGTTGTTTTTCTCTTTATGTGCTCTGTGACTGACTGCCGATCAGTTCAGGGTGTCGTCTGCCTTCCGCCCAAAGTCAGCTGGGAGAAGTTGCAGCAACTCTCCGCAACTGTATTTAAGATAAGCGATGTTGAAAATGGATGGATGGATGACTCAAATTATTTTCTCAACCCTGCACTGTGATTGTTTGGTGTGTCCAATAAAAATATGAAAACCCAAGTTTCCTGGGCAAGTAACAAAACAAAATTTACAAGCGCGGCCTGCCATTGTTGTTTAGTTTGGGATTTACTTGCAAATGTGTACTCTGAAAATGCAAGTGCACGTCAATGATTTGTTTTCGTCCTGTAACCAAATGGCCATAACGACACGAGTACATAGTCTCTACCTCCCCCAAGGCCAAGCGACAGTTTGCTTACTTCCACAGCAGCCTTGGCTCGCTCAAACTCCTCTTCCAGAGACTGATGTCTGGACAGGAGGGCGCTGCCCCACCGCTGATCCTTGGTTAGACGAGCCTGTTTTATATATACACACACACACACACACACACACACACACACACACACAATTCATAGTATATATGTATATGCAGAAACACAGTCCATTCATCATCCAGATATAGCCCATTACACGCGCACACACACACACACACACACACACACACACACACACACACACACACACACACACACACACACACACACACACACAATCAGCCAGAGGGGGACAGGCAGGGAGAGTGTGCAAGGGTCAGCCTTCTCTGCTCTCTCAGGGACGACTGAATATCTCCTCCTCAACAAAGCCCCCTGACATGCTTTAGTTCAATCACTCGTGTCAGCAGCTCGCCTCAACCCTCATCTGAACGCCCTGCTATACTCAGCCAACCTCTCTCAGGTTCAACCCTGCTACGCCATCCACTCTTGTGTGCCCGCACATGCAATCCTACACCCCACATTGCGCTGACGGCCGCACAGGTGTAACTTCAAACATCCTGTCGTTAAATTTAAAACAGATAAGCTCGGCAAACGCGTGCTTATATCTATACACAAGTCCAGCATTGGTGAAACGATTTCACATTTCGTGTGATTTAATGCAATGACTATATAGAGTGAACATAGTATCACATTAGGTCATCAAATTTATTCCAGACACTGACTGTCATGTTCCGCTCTATTTTTGTTTTGTTCTTTGTGTGTTTTAGCACACAAAGAACTGGGGCGTGGCGTGTGGGGCGTCACCCTTCAGCGGTACACCTGTGCTTGATCAAGGAAATCAAGCGGCGGCCTACTTAAGGACAGTGACCTCTTGTCTCCCTTGTCGGACTATTGCTCTTGATCACTGCTTTTGCCCCAAGTGCTTTGTTCTAGATCTCCCGTTCATGTAACTAGTCGCTCGCCTCTTCATAGTAATTCGGGTTTGTAAGTATTTGTAAAATTTGTGATTTGTCCTTGGTTTCGTTTGATTGAGCAAACCTCATTTCGTTTTATGTTTTTCTCTGTGATCATTCTGTCTTTGTAATTGGCAAGCGCTTTCTGTTCTCGCTCGGTTTTTCTGGCTTTTTTTCGCCAGCGCCTTTTGTTGACTACTTCATCGGTCCCTCGCTTTTCTTTAAATAAACCTCTTTTGTTATCGCCATTTACTGTATCTGAGTCTGCGTTTGGGGGGATCAACACTCCACACGGTCAGAGGTCAGACCATTGTGTCACTCCCGAACTAACGGGTCTATGTGGAGTTAATGGCATCTTCTGGAATGGGTTCCATAATGTCAGCATCGATGGATGGATGGATGACAGTTGACCTTAATGTTCCCTTTTATGCTTAATTTTTGAAAAACATAAAACACATCCATATGTCCAATTAGTCAAGCAAAATTCACCCCAAAAAACGATTACGGTAACACATTTTCCATTAAGGCTGAGCACAATCTTAGATTTTTCGGGGGATTTTTTTTTTCTTACAATTCAATGGACGCATCCAAATGTAAAGAATCAGGTACAAACAGTGACACATCTATCTATCTATCTATCTATCTATCTATCTATCTATCTATCTATCTATCTATCTTACTGAGTTTCCAAAAATAATGACTGTATTTCATTCTCAAAATGATTGAATTTCCAAATAGACCAGAGGAGAGTGCAGTGGCCTATTGGTTACTATGAGCAAGTATGCCTCACAGTCCTCAGGCTCGAATCTCAACATCGACCTTCCTGTGTGGGGATTGGCATGCCAGAATTGTCGACAGCTTCTTCTCACTGGTCGAAAGGTTATTTGAAGATTCCACCTTGTCCATTGGTATGAATATGAGTTTGAATGACTGTTTGTCTATCGACTGGCTGCCAGTCCAGGTGTACATCGCCTCTCACACACTAAACATGTAATTACCGGTACTAGAATTCCAGTTTGTGAGTGTAGCTTTTCCTTTACCTACTCCAGATGAGCGATGAAGGACATGACTCACTAACTTTACCACTGCAAAACAGTTGAAAGCACGCAAATATGACAGCCTGTTTAAATAAAACATCACTTGACTATTATTCTGAATTGCAGGTTGCGTGCCGTTCTCAATTTCATTTTTATAATCAAAACCTCAATATGTACTTGAGAGCTGGCAGAAAAAAAATGAGATCATTTCTGGATTAAAAAATGACTTAATCGCTCCTGGTAACCACTGTCTGATTACTAAATGTGTTGATTTTATCCAAATATTGATTGAGTAAATTCCATGCAAAACACGTCTTTACTTTTTGCATGCAGCTTGTACATGTATTTTGGATTCCTTTCAAACAGCAGGAAACTACGCCCGTCTGTGAAATGTGCAACTCTTGAGCGCAAAAATTTGGAGATCTTGTGACTAGCATCCATCATGGACGGCTATCTTTAATACCAAATGAATTATTAATAGGGTGTGCTGAAAAGGTGACGTCTGCTTAGCTAGCTCAGTGAGATCAACATTAATGGGCTCAGAGTAAGATGGCTCAATAATTCATAGGCTATTAATCTAATAATGGCATCAGAAATAAGACCCCTTACGCAGACCTGCACAGACATCCACCTAGCAAGAAAGCGCTTCACATTTGGACCATGTAGCATCACCAAAGACAATCTGGATTTCCCCAAAAGCACCTCTCAGCTTCAAGTCAACACGCTCGTTTTGGAAGTCAAATTTCATGACATGGTGCGATGCTGTTTTCCCGGTGCAAATGTTTACGTCTTTCCATATGAAATGAAAGGATGCATAGGGAGGCTTACATGTCTTCCACTAATATACTGCCTGTTGAGCTGAAATGGAAGAATTGTAGGTGTTAGGACAAATGACGGCGAAACAATCGCACACAAACTTGAATGGTTATCATGCAGTTTTGGTTTGCTCCAGGGTATAAATGTTTGTTAATACAACATGCAATATTTCCGAGCTGTGTCACTTTGAAAGGATGTTGACTCGAGCGTCAACAATAAAGATGATTACTGCCAATTCCTAATCACACCGAGCACTTACTTGAGATGCAAGGGCAGACTCTGGCTCCACTTTGGTGTTTGCTTCCACACAGTTCTTATTCAATTGCTCTAATTGGGTTTTACAGTCAATGGACCTAAAATAGTGCACAAGAAGCTGGAATGAGTGCTTGCAATCCAAGTTTTTGTTTTACATGAAAGACCATATGCAGTTATGACTTCAAACATATGCTACACAAACTGATCTAAATACAGATACATTGAGTGCAGTAAATATTTGGACATACAGCTTTTTCAATATTTGGATGAAATTCATTTGCATTCAAAAAGTGCCTGAAGTCTAGAACCACAGACATTAACCAGTTTCTCCCTGGAGATGCTTTGTCAGGCTTTCACTGGAGGCACCCTCACTTGCTTCTTAAACTGGGGAACACATTTTTCGAAAATGACCCTAAACAGGTGGCGACTTTAGAGCCAATCTGTCAGAGGCAAGAATGAAGACTTCAGTTTTCACTTCATTCAACTGAAAGGAGTTTTGAGCCATCATGCAGTACATTTATCCCATCTGCACTATTAAAGAAAAGAAATATAACTCGAGGTCTTCTTCATGCATGTGGTATGATTTGCTGATGACATCACTGACAGGGAGCCTGTGGAGGGCAAAGAGGATGGGCCCCAAAACTGACCCTTGAGGAACTCCACGGGGGGACAGACTGACTTCAGTGCCATGTTCATCAAGTAGCACCAAGGAGCCCATTTTGTTTATAACCCACTGCACCCACATCATGCCTACACTCTTTTGACACCGGATGTGGTATGCTCACGTCGTTCAAATCTGATGAAAGGCAATTTAACTCTGTAATTGTCCTCATAATTCTGTACCTAACCGTATATCCCGCATGGGCCGTTTTATCCCTAAAACCACATATCAGTGCCCATGACAGTAATTACCATAGAAATTCATTTGAGGAGTTTTTTGATGAACGCCGTCTCTCCAGTTTCCACTTTCTGTTCCCGTTTCTCTCAGGGTTGGGGTTCAACTCTTCCCATTTATCCAATGGTGAATCAATGATAGCTGGACACAAAGATAAGAAAAAATTACAAACGGATTGAATTGACATAAGAGGCGACCAAAAGGAAGTTGTTCAAATAAGTTGGACTGTGAAACTTCGAATGGTCTTACAGGTCAAACAAAGTGCAAAAAAATAGACGGTTAGAACTGGGAGTGCTGTAAAAATAACATCGACTGGAAGTTCAAACTTTTTTTTTTCTTGAAATAACATCAGGGAAATACATGCTGCCATGAATTATTCACTTCACTGCTGTTTAACTGACTAATTAGTTCCCAGTGAACACTTAATTTCTCTGAAAGTGTTTGACTGTTTCTTCAACATGTTTGCATAACGTCTGTACCGGAGTCCAATGACGCCCTCTCTGGTGTCCGCATGCTCTGTTCCACCTCCACCTGGATTAGCTCCGTCTCGGCAATCTTTTTCTTCTGCGGGCTGTTCTGTTTGTCGCTCCGGGACGAACCAGGACTCTTCCTGTCTTTGTTTTTTCTCTGCTCGCTTGGCTCACTGAGGTCCAGTAGGTCCAATGTGGACGACAGAACTGCCAAGACAGCACTTTTAATTAGCGCATTCAAACTGTTTAAATCTAGATTTCTTTGGCTATTTGATCATTTGCAACCTGGCTTCACTGGGAATGTGAATCCCAGATGGGGTGAAAAAAAAAATCAAATTTTCCCATGATGTGCATTAACTGCCAAATGTAGCCTGCAGTATTTTACCTTTTTATCTTTTATATTTGTCTTTTAGTGGGTTTATAAAACGTGAAGAGAGCCTATCCCAGCTGTCTTCGGGGAGTAGGCGGGGTGGACAGTCTGAACCGGTTGGCAACCAATCTCAGGGCACAAATTCGCTCTCACATCTAGGGACAATTTAGAGAGTTGGGAGAATTCATGTTGGTCTGAAAGAAAATGTTGGTGATTCAGCACCGAGTAATATGACGTCCTTTTGAAACAATCCAAATATATGTCTGGGCGAAAACGAGGAGCATCTTTCTACTTCATTGACTTTTATCATGCATTTTATGACCTCAGGATGGAAGTCCGACAACACCCGTGTGTGATTTCTTTTCTCGTCTTCCTTCTGTTTCAAATTTACTGCATCCTTTTGGAACACTGGATTATCACATATTTATTGGTTTCAGAGTTAAATCATAATAACTGCCAATATCTGACAGGAAGAAGAAATAAAAATCACACTATGGTAGTTTTTAATCTGTTTTACAATTTTCTTAATAGCAAAATCCAACTGTTTTGATCCATCAGTGCTTTTCACGTGCACCGCACTGCCCCTTAATGGTTTCTTCTGATTGCCGCTAATTTTTTCCATCCAGTAGGTGGTAACTATTAAAACTCATATTTGTAGAATCTCAGTCGAATTCCCGGGCCCCTGGCTGACTGTTTCCCCTCATGTAAGGAGAGCTCAAAGCTGCAGAGAGATGACGAGATAATTGGCGTGCTGCTGTTTCATGATAACCAGCTGAGAGGGTTTGTTGACTGAAATCTAGACGTAATCAGAGCGTATGATTGTCGCCCGTGACTTGTGCTATTTAGATGACAAGCACAATTACAAATGTTGTTGAGATGCAGTCAAGGAGGGAGGTTGCCTGAAGAGATTTTAGCATCAAAAGAAACACAAAGGCATTCATTATAAAGCAGGTCTTTTTAAATGTTTTGACACCCTTGAGCTGAAATTAATGAGACTGGCAGAAGGCGGTTGCTCAGACTGCGAGGTTTTATTTATATGTCGGGATTTTGCCTTGATTATTTTGCTCTTTAGAAGGATGTTCTGCAGTTGCCCTCAAATTAAAAAAATATACGTGTCCATTGAGTATGTAATATAGAAATACGGCGGTGTTTATTCATTTTAAGTTTATTGAATTTAAAAAATAGGGTTGCTCTTTGATGTTTATTTCCCTAGTTTTCTTTTATTTTTTTGTGTGTGTGGAATTTCATTGGAATGTATGGTAGCTGGTGTCCACTCAGAAATATAGTAAATTAAGAAAAGCAAAACATTGATTTTTACTTAGATTTCCTCCTGCTTGTTATAATGAGTGTGTTGGGAAAGATTCTGTGTATGCATGCATTTTATTTCACAATACCTCGACTGTGGATGGAATGATAAACAATGACTTCTCAACCATGTACGTTGTGGAGCCAAGGCAGACCTCATAACCTCTGAGTCGTAAGCTTACAGGCATGCAAATGCTCTGTGTGTGTGTGCGCGCATGCAAATGTCTTCTTATGACCAGCCCTTAGTGAGTCATTGTGTCACCTAGGCCTCTGGAAAAGTTCTACCTGGACTCCTGGTTGAGGGTTTTGTGGTCTGAGGACCACAGCTCTCCTTATTTGAAGATGATGTAGGCCAAGTGGCCAAACCAAACGGACCTTCAGCGTTTCCTGGGACAGCTTAGTTGAATGTTTGACCAAAGTAAGGTGGTGGGAGATGGCCATGGTCTGGCCATCTCTGCTTTGACTTTCCACCCCGGACCCAAATAAGCAGATACAATGTATGGACAGAGTTCTCGTAATTACCCAGAATTGAACGGAATAGTACTGAGGCTATAGAGAAAGATGACAGATCTTTTGTCAGACAGCAATTACAAGTCTTGACGTAATCACGTATTGTTAGTTTTATTGTAAGAATTATATGGTCTGTTCTTACCCAAATACTGCATTCGCATGACTATTGAACAAACATCTTGGAGGAAAGTGCTGACAAGAGGACAAAATATGTGAGGGTGACTATCATGGAGAGGAGATTGAGGCAAAAGGAGGGGAGGGTGCCACTTTGAGCCAATGTAGACATCTGCACGGACACCCACGACATTAAGCAGCACTGACACTGCCCAGTACAAGATGACGACACGACTTCTAACTCAAAACAGAGTTCCATCAGTCTATTCCTAATGTCTTGTGTGACTGTCTGCAACCAGGAAAAGAAATACACAAGCACAATTACAGCACTCTGTGATTTGGAAATATTTTGTAATTGCGGTGCGGTAACATTGGCAAAGGTCTGTGCCAGGGGTGTCAAACTCATTTCACATGGTGGGCCAAATACGGCCTCGGTAGATGTCAAGTGGGCCGGACCATTAAAATGATACCATACTTTGCTATAAATAACAAAAACAATCTGTCTTCCCTTTGTTTTGATACAAAATAAGCACAAGAACATGAGGAAAATGTTGAACTTTAATGAACATATCTTTTACAAAACATTTCAGGAAGCACCTTACATTTTCTTCGACAAATGTGCAATTTACTTTTATCATTCACAAATATGCATTGCAACTGATCCCACTGATTGTACAAACTTTAACAAGTAATTGGTATTGAAAAATATAGTAATGCACTTTAAGATTAAACGAGATTTATAAAGAAAGGAAGTTTTAAACCATTTACATGTGCATATAAAATCTAAATGTAATCCCTGCCTACACCTTACAAACTAAGGAGAGTGCTATTAAATGTGTAAATGTGAGAGTGCTATTGATAGCGTCTGCTGTCATGGGTCTGTCTCAGTGACGGACTGAGGCTGCTGTTGTCTTTTTCTCTGATCAAAACAGTGTCCCCTTGCGGATACTCAATGAATTGCACCTTATTAAAAATATTAATTCTGTGTCTTTTATGCATTTTTTTTGTCACTTTTAAATTATCCTGCGGGCCTGATTGAACCTCCTTGCGGGCCGGTTCCGGCCCGCGGGCCGTATGTTTGACACCCCTGGTCTATACTATTTTGTTTTGACTTATTTTCCCCCTCCCATACACATGAAAACTAAACTTTAAACTTCTCCAGCAGCTAAAAACAAAATTCGAGAGATCTGCTTGTGGATTTGCATAAATTAGAGCTTGTCATTAACATCCCGTATTGATTTTCTCCACTTGTTTACTCCTGCTCAGCATTATTCACTGCTTCTTCAGTCCATCACATCGTGTGACAGGCTGACAGAGGATCACACCTAAATCCACTTCACTGGCACATCTTTAAACTGTGGGAGGAAACCAGTTTTGCATAATGGGATAGATCTGAGCTCAGGCTTCACTTCATGGAACAAAACTTTACGGTTTGGAACCCAAGATCTTTTTTGTACACGAAGAAAGGTTGACATTCACTCGACTGTACATTCTATGGGCACTAAACCAGTGACAAGAGGAGTTACTTTCGATGCTTGAGAGACAAAAACGGAGTGTTTTCAACAGCATCTTTGATGTAATCAGGTGATTGTTTGAAGATGACACATAATCTAGTGTACAAACAATGGACGGATTTTATTCAATGAAATAAAGAATACAAGTAGTTTTGACTTTATACTTTGTAAAAAATATCATTAAAATGGATGTTGTGTCACGTACCTGCTGTGTTGGAGGTCACCGGGCGGGAAAGCCCATCACACTTGGTCTCGCAGAGAAAATCGTCAATGGATGGACTCAGAAGCGGGCGACTCTCTTGTTGCTCACTCACCAGCTGGAGGGACGAAACGAAAAGGTTAAAAACAAACAAACAAACAAAAAAAAGCTATGAGAATGACAAGGGTTGAAAAGTAATTTCATTTTTCATTTTAAATATTTGGATCATCTTGGAATTATTTTTTTAGATATGGCAGTTTATGGTAATCAAGGCTAATATTTTGTAAACATTTTGTTAGAAGCTATTTCTGTAGTAACATTTGTCGCACAAACTTAACGTTGATTGATTCTTGTAAACTCCCAGCAATTTAATTCCCATGGAAAGTTTCCCACAAACAGTCTTGCTTCCAGGAAATATTAACAATAATAACGCAACAATGGAGTAATGAAACAATCAAGGCAGTTGGCTCGGCCCTCTGCTGCTGTCTAATAATTTTGTCAAAGATTTGGTTTTATTAAACGTGACTGTACACCTGTCTGCCTTTAGAATGGATCACTTCGACAAGACATTACAACAGAATCGAATGTCTACTTCTGAGTGGGTGGTGGAGAACAAGTGGAAACTAAACATGGCAAAAACAAAGTGTATGATGCCGGGCTCTCAATATTCTGTGAAAGAATACAAGTGACATTTACAAAATGATAAGAGACAGTCTCTGGGAAGTTTTTGTTTTGTTTTTTTCTAATTTGCAGTCTACTTTCAAAGTCCACATTCAACAATCAGCTATCAGCGACACGTACGGTATCATGCATTCACTAGTCGCCACTTCGAGCCAAATGAGCTTGGATATGCCCCAAACAATAAGACAACTTTGCTTATCTCTTTTCCCATACCATCAAAATGCTAATCTTTTTTTTTCTTGTGGCACAGAAATCTTCCAGTGCAGCTGTGGAATGCTTCCCATTTAATTTCTGCTGTCTTGAAGCTTGAACGGAAGGCTGAATCGGTGCTTCATAATTTTGGAGCTCGGAGCCAATTGTGCCCCAGAGGAAAGGTAAGCATCGGTGTCAGCGCTGCGATTTTGGCAGTAAGGAAACTTGACATTTCCTGTTGTTGCCCTCAGGGCTGTATTTGCATGTGGAATTTGAATTCAATGGGTAAAGGCCGTTTTGCGTGACACATAATCGTGCGGGTCTGGACACTTGGATGGTTTTGTGCACATTTGGAGAGAGAGCTTTTGGCACCCGGCGAACAGAGTGAAAATCTGAATACATTGAGAGAATCGGTCATTACTGAGTTTGTGTTGTGCTTCAAAATAGCTGAGCCAGCACAGGTAATTTGACTTCGTGCTGTGTTAGAACAAAATTTATGGGATGTGTCACACATGCTGCCAACACAAATTGTGATACAATTATATTCTTATGCAGTAACTGCAAATTGGGTCATTTGGACAGTTGGACAGTTGTACACCACAGCCAAAACAGTGAAAAATAACTCCACGAAGCTGAAATTTAGCTTAGGATGTCCAGAAGGGTCAAAGTTCAAAATGACACCCTGCTGGACACTTTTGAACATTACAGTTGGTATAGATGACATCATGGCATTTTTGGCCTACAGCGTCAGTAAAAGTCCCAAACTGGACACATTGATGCCCATTATAAATGCCAATTTTCAATAGACTTTAAACCTGGTGTTTTATCGTGCATTTCTCGCAATTTATACACAAATCACATCACTGACGGCTCACTAATGCCATCAAAGCCAGAATTGTGGACCTACAATTTTTACCTCTCTTTTCCACGAGATGGCGCTAGAGCCTAAGATATAATTCTTGTGCCGGCCCTTTTTGTCATATCGAAAACATCCGGTTTGTCATTTTAATTCGAATAAACGGTCTATTTTGTTGAGAGAGGTCTATTTGCATCTGTGTGTATGGATGTGATCGTATGTCCCCATCACATAGAATACTACTGAGCAAAGACATCGAAGCAGTACTTTTCCGCCATTTTGTGCACATTTGAATATAAGGTCATATGTGTCTCTGCGGAGCCATAAGCCAGACAGACTCAACTTCGTTTGCACGTGTACGCTCGCGCGCGCGTGCAAACCAATTTAATGCAGTTTATAGAGCATTGCTAGCTGGGTGTTTTTTCATCTGTCTTTTTTCTAGTCTCCACACAAGTAGAACGCACACGCACAATGTGCATTTGTGCACACGCATGCACAGTGTCCTGGGCGTGTGTTGCATGTGCACGAGCGTGATTGGCGTGTTTTAGGTTGCAACACGCGCTAACGAATAGAATGCATTGCAACGATAGTCACTGGCTGGACGTTGTTTTGAAAATCAAGTGTTATTTTTTTGAAAATCGAGTTTTACATTGGTCGAAAGATCATCAACTACATGTCGGAGGAGTACGGGAACTTTATGCACGTAAATGCACCAAAAGTATGCCAACCATGCAAAAGTATGCCAACCACGAAAGCAATGTAGCTTTTGCGAAAAACCACTTCGCGCTTTGACTTATTGTGGCAGATGTGGAAAGGCCATCTGCCACAAAAACACGACAACCATTTGTTCAAAAAAAAAAAAAAAGTTAAGTGTTGTGTTTGTTCTTTGTTTTTGTCATCAAGTTTGTATATTAGTTGCTGGTTGTTTTGTTTGTTTGTTATAAAGTATGTTCAACATTTTTCATAGTAGTTGTGACTTTGTTACTTTTTCAAGGTTCTAATATCTATATACACGCAATACACAATATCGGACATATGAGTTAGAGTTATTTATATAAAGTCATAACACAATACTCATTTTGTTATACATACAGAAGGAAAAAGCAATACAAACTATACTGTATATGTATGGCTCGGTCCGATGCCACTGAACATTTTGAGGGTTTGAAAGTGAAAAAAACGTTCAAAAATGACTTAGTTATCACACCTCAAATACGCAGCCCTATGTGGGCCAAATATGCTTTATGTCGTATTTTTTTGAAATGGCCATTGCAGAACAAAAAGCAGGCATGAAAAAAAATTCTGTTCCTGCGGTTTGTTGACATATTCAAGGCTCTATTTATGTCACATGCAATATTTGGACTGGGTGACTTTTTTTTTATTTACACATGCAGCATAGTTACTGTGTTATTGACATACTCCTGCTGCTGTGGGTCATAGAGGGCGCCAAATATAAATAAATAAATAAATAAATAAATAATGTATGGGTTGGCCCGATGTCCCTGAACATTTTGAAAGTTGAAAGTGAAAAAAAAATTCTAAAGTGAAAAAAGTTGTCAAATTTTGGAAAAGAGCCATATTTGGGAAAAATACAGAGACCGGACCAATCATCATTACTGCATGAGGGCTCTAGAAGGGTTGTTGCCGGCGATGTTTATTGACCAACTGAAGGTTTTCTTAGCTCTGTTGAAACTGAATATATGACTACATGTTAGGCAGTGAATGATTGAATATTGACCTTTTATGGAGGCAAGAAGTCATTCCAAAGACTATTGTGCTTAATTAAATGTTATCGCGACTAAACCAACAGCCACACAACACTGACTGGGTAGTATTAATGTGGTGGGGCAAGTTTTTTCGTTAAAGAAAATAAATGGTGCTGTGGGTGTGTGAGGGCGGGTGAGGGGCATCAGTAAAACTAATTGTCTTTATGTGTGGTAGTAATGGCTCAGATATATGTCTCCACAAGCTGCAGTCTATTTATTCTGGTTAATTTAAACTCACTGTGAATCTGAGCTGGTCGTTGGCTTCTTGAGAGTGGCAGTGGGTGAAATAAGCAATTGCACATGAACAACGAAATAAGGCATGTTGCCAGAAATTACAGTATTATATATGCTGGGCCCTTCATTTTTTTCCAACAGTTCTCTCATAGAGTAGCTGCATTTTAGGGAGGATTTTTCTCATTCAAACTTGACATTTAACGTCGGATTTTTGCATATTATGAAATGTTTTCCAAAATAATAAACATCACGTTCCACATTATGATTGAAATGGAGGTTTTTCTTAAGGTTTTTATAAACAATCTGTGCAAGTGGCACACAGCATACTTTTAAAGTCATCTGCTGTTCAAGAATAATTTGAATGCTTTGAAAACAAATAGCATTGGTTTTTTTTTTGTTTTCAAAAAAATAAAAGCATAGTTTTAGTTAAAATGCACTGCTTCAAATGATTCAGGTTGGGGCCACACCATGAATTTCACCCCTTTCATGCCCATGGCAGTCAATGATGCAGAGGTATTCCTTGCCACATGAGATGGTTCACTACGTGGCGTGTCACCTTGGATGGTCAAGATGGATGCAATAGTGTATGGTTGGTGGACGGCCATCACGTCCTGAAAAGGCTACGGTGTCATGTTTTGAGCCAGAATGATGGGGAGAGAGCTGATCGGCCCCTTTCAGTTTCCTGAAGGTGTAAAAATAACCTCTGAAAAGTGTGTGGAGTAAATGTCTACTTTTTATGATGTAGCAAGATTAAGAACAGAACTTTGCCAAGCAAAGTCATCTTTAACCCTTGTGCGTTGACTTTTTTTAACAACACATTGGAAAAAAGGCTCCAAACTGGAATGGTGGCTTTGAGGTGTAATATCAAAGTCATTTCTGAATATTTTTTTTTCTTGCGACCACTCAAAAAAAATGTTCAGTGGCGTCAGACCTAATCCATACATATATAGTTTCTATTGACTTATTTAGGTTGGTGCCCTCTATGGACAATAAAAGCAATGAAAAGCAGTATTGTGCTCTGGGCAAAAGTAACTATCATTTGCATATACATAAAAATAAAACCTTCAATTTGGAATATTCAATATGGACAAGTTAGCGCCTTCAACATGTTCATAAATCATGAAGATCTATTTTTGTTTGTTTGTCAATACTCCCATTATGAGATGTTTTAGGACACAAGGGTTAAGCATGACAATGCACCATGTTATGCCGCAGGAAATACCTCTGTATCTTGGGCTTCTCTGACCAGAAAAGGAGAGAAACTTGTGTCTCCCCCACCCCCACCACCATCATCCTTCTCTGATGATGAACCCTATTGAGAACCTTTGAAACATTTTTGAGCTAAAAGTCTACGATAGTGAGAGGCAAAAGTAAAAGTTTGATGTGGTT